CATTAAACCAGAAAGCTGACAATTCATTTTAAATTAATCAGAATAGTGCAGACAAATGAACCTCGGTATCTTCCTTAAGTCAGTATTCTACTCTGAGATGAGAAAGACAGAGAGATGGTGTGGGGCATAGAAGTGATCTGAAAACAAATTGCTTAACAAAATCACCATTTCAATAAAGTATATTTAAAAAGAGGAATCTAGCTAGAGAATAAATGATAGATGTTGGGTATCCTCCAGTCCTGTAGCAGCAGACAGACCTCAGATTATTTTGTCACAACATGCCTTGCAGATCCTATCAGTAATGAAGTTACTCCTCTATTCAATACTTTGATGTCTTTTATTGTGTAACAAACAAACAAAATAACGCAAAATAATGCAGATATCATTTCAGGCTGTTATCTATGTCATAACAACCACTACTATCTGTATTCTACAAGGCTATGGATTCAGCCAATTAAAAAATACAAATGTTTTGTTTTATAGGGCCAGGTTCAAAAAATGTTTTCTTATTTTTTTTTTTTCCCCCCATGATGGTATCAAAATTGAGTTCAAATATTTTGTGGTAATTTAACATATTAGCCATGGGCATTCTACTGTCATTTTTTCTTTTTTCCTTTCTTCCACCTCTCCCCACTCCCCCAGTAATCAATTACTTGAGCCAGCATAGACTGAAACTGTAATGCATAGGATGACTGATTCTTGCTTCTACTAGAAAATTCTACAGTCAGGATAGCTTTGGTTATGCTCATTTTGAATTTTTCATTCCATAGTTATCTTGGCTGTATGATTATTTAGTATACTGAAATAAATGAGTGACGTCATACATAGATTTGTGTGTTTTCCTATGAATCGTAATGGCCCAAGCAGTATTAAGAGACAAACAGGAGAAAATCCTTTGAGAGCAGAGCTCATTAACTTCCTTTCCTCCTTCCAGAAACTGCTCTAAGGAAGATGTATGCTCAGATACACCTAAGGAAAGCAAGGATACCCAATAAAATTAAGTATTCTGGGCTGCTTAATTAGTTTTTAAGTGCAGGAGTTGTGTATTTAATTTTAATGAGTCGTGCTCTTAGGCTCTCTTTAGAAATGGAGAAAAAAAAAACAACTCTTGTATCCACAAGAACACATGCACATGAAGATGGGAGGATATTGTAATTCTGTCTGCTTGATTACCTTAGGGACACCAAACAAGAGTTTTGAGTAGAGTCAATTAAAAAGAAAGGAAAGGGAAGAGAGGGACATTGAGCAAAGAAACTATTGCTTTTATATTTGCGAGCATAAGAATAAAGCCTGAATGGAAACTATCTTGTTGAGTTACACATTGCAGGGCTTTTTATTACTTTTTAAGAATAGCACAAGTTTTGATAGCCTTATAAATTGGAAAAAAAAAAAAAAAAAAAAAAAAAAGGACAAGTATAAAAGCACATCTAAAATTAAAGCTCAGTGTCAGAGTGGGAATTCAGGAACTGTTTAGGGAAATTATAAGCAATTCAACAGAGTTAGAGAATGGACTAAACTGATGTCTGGGTTTATTAAAGCACGAATATATGGAAAAAAAGTAGGGCAGGGAAGACAGTTGAATGAATTAGACTGTACTGAAAAGAAAGCTAAATAGATATTTCTGGGAAAAATCATACTGCTTTCATTAATTACATTGGTTGAAAACCTGGGATTTTATCAGTTAGAAATGCCAATCAGATTGTTCAAAAAATGCTGGTACTGATTGCAGAGATTACTGGTAAAGAATAAATGAGAAACTTAATTCATTTTTTTCATAAGTTTAAAACTCCAGAGAAATAAAACTTTAAAGAATAAATTCAGCTTTAATAAAAGAAATAGGTCTTATCTAAACTTAAATCTTTAATTAAGAAGTTTGGTGAGTAGCTCTAATGAGACAGAAGTAGGAAGGAATTAGCAGAGTTGTACAGATAGGAAGGGGGAAAAATCTGAATCAGCTCCTTAGACATTCTGAGCAAACAGAGCACAATTCTGTGGACAAAGAGAGCCTTTACTGTCCTGCCACAGATATAACTAGCTCTTCCCAGTGTTAGAAGAGTCCTAAGCCAATGTCCTCCTCCTCTACTTATTGTTTTGTCTGCTCATGTTCTGTGAACTTTATATGTACACTGAATACATTTTGACTTGTAAATATACTTATTCTACAATACATATTGTTGGCATACATTTTCTATACATTTATCAATTTTTTCCAAAGTAACCTCTTTTGAAACAAGAGTCTGAAAACTTAATCAGGACAATGAGTGCATGATGTTTGATTTTATATTCCAATTAACAGCCTGGACTGACCCTACAATAGTTCCTCAGTGATCACTACTTTTTTCCTATTTGGGCTACCCTATGCAGATGTCAATCTTTTATACACCAGCCATTATTAATTGTTAAATACATAAAATGTATTTGAGTTCAGAGATCTCTGCTGACAAAGATTTTTAATCCAGATAGATTTACTAGTGATACTTGCCATCAGTGTTTCAGCAAATCTGGCAATCTCCCTGCGCATACAAAACAATACTTTGGGAAAGAGTTTACTAATAATAAAATCATAAAACCACTGTAACTCAACAGCATGTTAGACACTCACAACAGCAATGGAAATGGGCTGATTTTTCTATATAATTTAGAGGATTCAGAGACTGAAGCTAGTTCACAGGGCTAGTATGTGTTATAAAAATTTAAATTTGATTATTCTCACTTCAGTTTTTACTATACATTATAAAGAAATTATGTTAGGATTTTTTAAAAGCTATTTTTATGCTAGAACAATAAGATAATGGAGCTTAAAGGATTTAGCATTTGTGATCCTGTGAATTCATAGTAGTATATTTGCAAGTGTGTATAAACAGAGAAACGACATTTTCCTGGGTAAAGTATTTTAAGTACTTTTTAAAGTATTTTTTTTAAGTATTATTTTCTTTATATTCGTGCACTTGCTTTCTTTCAATGAGGTTACATGATAACAGCTGTCTGTACATATACAAAGAAGCATATATAAAAAAAATGATAGATAGATAAATAGACAAAGTAATATCCTGCCCTGATTCACTACATGAACCACCAGTCTATTACAGGCTCATCTCAATAAGCCAGGTTGAGCAGGGAGGCACAAAAGCAGACAGAGAATGCAAACTGAGGACTCAGAGGAAGAGGCACCTTGTCCAGACTTTTCCTAGGACTGTCCAAGTAGTAAAAAGGCATGAAGACCACCAAGATGTGCTAAAACCACAGCACCTTCTGGGGGTCCATACTATGTTAAATATAAAAGTGGAATTCTACTTGGAGGAATGAGATATTTATAACAGTTTTGGTTTGGATAGAGTTATTTTTCTTTACAGTAGCTTGTACCATGCTACATTTCAAATTTGTGTCCAAAACCATGGTGATAATACACCTGTGCTTTAGCTGCTGCCAAACAGGTCTCAGAAAGTGTCAGGGTCTTATGTTTCTCTCTACGGCCTCCAACATTTAGGCTGGGGGATGTACATGAAGCTAGAAATGTACATAGCCAGAGCAATTGAATCTGATTCACCAAAGGGACGTATGTTCCATATTATATTAAGTGAAACAGTAAAGGCTAGGAGAAGCTACTTACTAGCCCTGGAAGAATGTGTATCATTTTGGGCCACCGAGATCTCTGAAAAAGCAGTGCATAAATTTCTTTTCAGAGTTGTAAGTAATAGTAAACAAGGGAGAATAGTGGATCACTAGCACAGTTGCTTTCTTCATTACTTGGTGACTTTAATCAAACCTGAATTTCCCCCTAGAAGCAGCAAATTTAATTTGCAGCACTTTTAAAGCACTTGGACTCCCAGTAACCACTTTTGAAACTCTTGTGCACTCTTGTGGGGGAATATCAAGTATTTTGACAACACTGTGGACTCAGACGGCTTGATTGGTGCCAGTCAGATAAAAGTGACAGGCTGCTTCAAACATCTGCTGCTGCTGTCAACTTAGTGACAAAACAGAGTACAGAACCAAGATACCAGTCTCTCACTACTAGAATGTGCTTCTTTGATTTCACATAACACATCGAGAAGTCAGAATCACAGACTAGATTGGATCGGAACTGACCATGAAGACTGTCTAGTTCCAACATCCTGCTGTAGGCAAGGACACCTCCCAGTACACTACATTGCTCAAAACTTGATCCAACCTGGCCTTGTACTCTTCCAAGCAAGTGTCAGATACGTGATTTAGTCCTAGCAGTTTTTAGATAGTCGCAGAATAGTTGAGACTGAAAGGCGTGCCTGGGGATTACAGAGCCCAACTCCCCTACTATAGGAAGTCAGCTAGAACAAGTTGCCCAGGACCAGCACAAGATGTGTTTCAGTTATCTCCAAAGACAGAAAATTCCCAGTCTCTCTAGGCAAATTTGTTTGAGTCTGTTTGAAATAAAGAGTTTATTACAGTAATTGAAACAAAAAAGAAAATTCTGGTGGTATTTAGATGTTCAGGAAAGATAAGAAATCTGTGTCAATAAGAATTATCTATAAATGAATGCCTTTAGTCCTGTAAAATGCCTCTCCTGCCTAACTCCCTTCACTTGGAATGTAAATTTCAATGAAGTTACTAGGCTTTTATGTACAAAGAGCACCACTGAACATGCAGTTACCAACTAATCTTTTAGTGTATACTTTTAAAAAATTATTTGTACCCAGAAAAGAAGTATTAGATGCTATGATTTGTTACTGTTGTCTATTCAAAACTTAAACAGTGGAAATGATGATCAAATTACCTAAACTAACCAGATATCTGCTCCAAAACTAATTTGTGAAAATATTTGAACTATCTTCTCTTGCAAATAAGAGCCACATTTGAACTGGCTTAAATCCAACTGTAATGCTACATAATGGAAAACACAGAAATAATAGTGGGGTAGAAAAGTCCAAGGCAGCAGCAGATGAGAACAAGCCCAAATACAGGAGCCATAGATGCAAAAACAAATGAAACAAACAAACAAACAAACAAAAAAAACCACTTACCTTTAGAAGGACTCCAGTAGGCAGTGAACCCCAGCACCTCCTGTCGCTTCCACTGCCAGCCCTTAAATGAAGTCTGAGAAGGAATGAATCCTGGGTCCACCCCTTCCAGTAAGTCAGGTGCATTGCTTGCACCTGAGCTCCCCAAGGTTAGCCCTTCCTTTCCACCAGGTGCTCAGTCACTGTTTCAGGCTATGACCTAGCATTTCTGCTACACTCAACAAAGTAGTTTTGTTTAACTTTCCAAAAGATTGACTGTTTCTAAGTATCTGATTTCCATTACCGACATTACACATTTGTGTTCTCTTGCAGATCTCTGATTGTTAGATGATTTGCTTTCATCGTATGACTTAATGCAAATCATAATCTGGAGAAAGTATCACTTATGTCAAATTAACAAAGCATTTCAAAAATTCAGTATCCCACTCAGTTTATAATTGCAGACAATGTAAAATTTCCCTGAGAAATTTCAGCTGGTAATATTGCACTACAGCATGAAAGTTATCTTTTCCATCTATCAAACTACTATTAAAACAACACAGAAATCATTTGTGTTCCGGAAATGCACTCTCTTGCAATCAACAACACGAGTGATAGGATGTATGAATGGGTTATAACTGCACAGAATCATCAAACAATTAAGACTGCAATTGGAATATGGAGAAGCAACCCAGCCAATACCAAATATGTTTTAGGCAGCTTCTTAAGATGTTCTTGTATCAGAACTTACAAATACAGATTATTAGGAAAACAAATGGTAAGAATTTTCACAGAGAAAATCTATGTGAGAAAATCTATTCCTGTCAGTCTGACTGCTAACCTTACCAGGAACTAAAAGCATGTGCTTCAAACCAGAAAACTTTCAAATTCATTAAATTGAAGGTCTATGATCCAGTATTACAGAAGTGGTACATTTGTCTGTGTCCTGGCAGGTCCTCTATAAATGCTGGTATAAAATTTCAGTCAGAGTGCATATAAGAAAAGAGCACAAGATCATTGCTCATCCTATCCCAAATTCATATTGCAGAAGCCAGAGTGGGAATGGATGTACTTCATGCCTTACTACAATCACGAAGATTATTTTGGAAGATGAGAAGGTCCTCAGCAGGTGCTGGGCAGTGGTGCAGAGAAGTGATGTACGACTAGAAAAAGAACTGCTCTGATAAAACTCATCTTGTACAGTTACAGCATCTGATGTGTGGACTCAGAAGTAAATGATCCAAATTGTTTATTACATGTTCTCACATCACTTATATACATTCACAAGTTTTCTTGTTTTCTTTTCTTTTTTTTTTTTTTAGCTTTCCCATTGGCCCTTATAACTTTTCCATCCACCTTTACATGTCAACAGAGTTTGACATGTAATAAACACTCAGCCATGTATGCAGGCACTTATCCAATCAGAGCCATGAACCATTCCTTCTTCTTCTTGTCTTTTGTTCTCATGCTGTTTATCTTCCTCCACAGCTGCTGCTCTGAAGAGTTTTTCTTGTATTCCCACATACAGTCAGGAGCCATTACATCAGAAGATGTAAAAATCGTTAGAAGGTATAAAATTGTCACATAAAAACAATGAAGCAAACAGATGGAAGAAGTGCATGGAGTTTTAATTGCCTTCCTGTCTGGGAGCCTCTCAGATTTACTGTTTTCTTGTTTTCTAGCTTATCCTGGCAGCTGCAGAAGCTAGAAAAGTGCAAATCTTCAACAGAAACAGTAAAACTGCTTTCTTTCTCTGGTCTTCTTTTTTTCAATACCTAAGAAAAAGGCTCTGATTTTTCTTTTTTTTTTTTCATAGCAGGCATTTTCAAAAAATGTTCATGCATCCTTTAAAAAGGAGAGGCAGTTGTGTTTACATAAATTTTCTGAATAATTGTGGCCATTTTCTGCATGCCCCTGCCCTCCATAATCAGACTCCTTCTGATTCAGGCACCTGCCTCCTGGGTGTGCAGAAAACATCAGTTCATTTGGTGTCACTAAAAAAAATAGTGCTGTATTTTAAAAAGTACTACAGACCTTCTGAGATATATTACTGAAAATACTTCTCATTATAAACTATATGACATCATAAAAATTGAAGTTTTGGATTTTATTTTTTTTCAGTGCATTGTTTTGTTAACTTCAAGTATTCACACACTGAATGCAAAATTCAGGTATGTATCAAATCATTGTGTTTCTGTAGCATTAAGAATGGTATTTATATACATTACACACAGATCTTTCCATTTTCAGTATGTAATACCTCTTCTAGTCCACAGCTGCTATCACAGCGCAGGAAAACCAGTTTCTAGAATTTTCTATAGTGTGGTAGGTCATTTTTTCACAATAAAGAATAAATTAAAAAATAAAAAGTACTTCGCAGTGCTTTTAAAAATAGGAAAAACAGTACAAGAGAAAGAACTTGAAATATTCAAATTCCTATTACTACTTCTCCTTAAGAAAGTATATTACTAGTTCTTTATGTTCTTTCTTTTTTGATGTATAAATGCTTTTGTGTTTTTCTACCTCCTTTCTCTGTATGCTGAAAATTAGAGTTCTATAAATGATAATCACATTTCTGTGTGATAAATCTGATTAATCTACTACCTATCTCTGATGAGAGTGATTAAAAAGCTTCTTACTGGCTTTGTAAATGAGCAGTGCATTGGACTGTTCAGCTTCTTTCATCAGCTTCTCTTCTTTGCTAATTTCACATTATAACTGCCAGACTCCAATTTGTCAGACTGCCCCTCTTCTACCATCTGTCACACTGCAACAAAATGTGATGGAATGTTGTTGGAAAGGTTCCACTTCTACTGCCATGTCACCAACATCCACCTCTGAAATTGTCGGTCTACTTAATAAAATAGGAGGCATTATTTTTAGAGCAGTCGTCGTAATTTTCACCAGACAGGCCATTTCAGTTTTGATGGAAGTGCTTTATCACACCTCTGTGTTGGTTAAGAATGTCTTATCTGAAAGAGTTTGCTTAAATTTGTTGACTGGTAGCTGCTACATTTTGAATTTTTAGCAGTTTTTGTTGTTGTTATTAAGTGATTTAATGTGCACATCAATCCACGAAAGCAATCAATGAAGTACAAAGGGGAAATAAATCTTGTATAAACCTACTCAGCATGGGTTCATGAGTAGTAGATCCTGCTTGACAAACCTGACTGTTCTATGACAAGGTGACCTGCTTAGTGGATGAAAGTAAGGCTGTTGATGTGGTCTACCTGGCTTTCAGTAAAACCTTTGACACTGTCCCCCACAGCATACTCATGAAGAAGCTGACTGCCTGTGGTCTCAATGGGCAGAGTTGTGGCCAGACACTCAGTACTTGGGCCACTACTACTCAATATCTTTATTGATGATCACGATAAGGGGATTGAGAGCACCCTCAGTAAGTTTGCAGATGGTCTAAGTATTTTTTCCCATTTCCCTTGTTGTACGCAAGAAAATCCTTTATGGTGTGGGTGATGAAGCACTGGTACAGGTTGCCCAGTGATGTGTTTGATGCCTGTCCCTGGAGACTTTCAAGACTTGAAGGATAGTCAGATAGCTGAATATGAGCCAGCAGTGTGCACAGGCAGCCAAGAAGGCCAGTGGCATCCTGGCTTGTATCAGGAATGATGTGGTGAGCAGGATTAGGGAAGTCATCCTGCCCCTGTACTTGGCACTGGTGAGACCCCACCTCGAGTACTGTGTTCAGCTTTGAGCACTTCGATTCAGAAAGGACATTGAGGTGCTGGAGCAGGTCCAAAGAAGGGCAACAAGGCTTGTGAAGGGCTTGGAGAATATGCCCTATGAGAAGCGACTGACAGAACTGGGGCTGTTTAGTTTTAGTCTGGGGAAAAGGAGGCTGACTGGAGACCTTATTGGTCTCTTCCAATACCTGAAAGGTTATTGCAGTGAGAGCAGGTCTGATCTCTTCTTACTGGTGACAGATAACAGGACAAGTGGAAATGGCCTCAAGTTGCACCAGGGAAAGTTTTGGTTGGATATTAGAAAAAAAGTCTTTACAGAAAGGGTTGTTAAGCACTGGAATAGGCTCCCCAGGGAGGTGGATGAGTCACCATCCCTGAATATGTTTAAAAACAGTTTGGATGTGGTGCTCAGGGGCTTGATTTAACAGAGGTTTGATAGGTTAGGGTAGTATGGTTAGGTTGCAGTTGAACTTTATGATCTTGAAGGTCTTTTCCAGCCTGAGCAATTCTATGATTCTAAGTGTTCATCATGGTAGATTTTTATTTGTCTCAACTGAATAGAGAACACATTCTAATTACTTGCAGAATTTCTCTAAACATTCAAGCCTAGATCTTCAAAATACTGAAAAGCATTGATAGATGTTAGTCATCTACAAATCTTTGAGGAAATGGATGAGTTACTTCAGAGAGAACCATCAATTAGATTGTGCAGAAAACAGGATTCTGAGAAGTGTGAACTTTAGTGCTGTATTCTCAGCTACGTGAAAATGGTGATATCACTGATTTTAAAAGCCCATGTAATATCATTTTAGTAGATGTTTATTATGAGTGATTTGGTTCCTGCAATGTCTCTGAAAGAATAATCTATCAGATCTGATGTCTGCCAAAGCAGAAAAATGCATAGCAGTTCTATTTGCACAACAGGCCACTTCATGCTAAAAACATTCTGAAAAACTTAAAATATAGCCACGTTTAAAAATCATTACCTGAGCAGCTGACACTGGAGGGCCTTTAAACTGTATATTCAAACAATATTATTTAAGATTTTCAGACAAACAAGCCCAAACCAATTTCCTTCTAATGCTTCATTGTTTTAAAAAATCTCTAAATTAAATGATAATTTTATACTAAAGATTAAAACTTGTAGTGAAACATAAAGCTTAAGGCAAAAGTTAGCCTTTATATAAGTATTGGAAGAAAATGAGTCCCAGTTGTCTAGTAACCCACTTGATATATAACCTAGCAATGAAAACTAGTGCAATGGAATTTTGAAAATAAACTCCCACTATTTGTAAAATGTTTAAATTCAATTTTAATAGCACAATTTATAATCAGAAACACACTGTGCAGTGAAGGCTTCACTTGAAAGTAGAGCCTGTGGAAGTTAAC